GACTATCCTCATGATGATAGAAATTGATTCCTAAATATATTTTATAACAAAATTTTCACTTTTAAATACTAAAAAATTTAGTTTTTAAAACTCTTATATGTTGTAGTGATTGATGCTAGTTGTTCGGATGATAGGGTGACGGCCGTGGTAGACAACAATGAAACTGGTCGTCTAGCCAGACGACCAACATCAACAAATTTGGACAATTTCGGACGACAACAATTCAGTAGATAAATCATTTCATATTAATTTTAAAGAAATGCTTAGAGATCTTAAATGAATTATCAAATATTCATGTGTGTGAAACCCATATATGTTCCGTGGGTGTGGGTCTCACCCATATAAATATTTAGTAATTCATTTGAAATTGTACTATAACATTTCTATTAATTTTATGCATATTTTCCTTCGTCTTAGATCAAAGCCTCCTTGAGTTTGGCGATGAACTTTGAGTAAATTGGGTTGATGAAAATATTTCTACAATATTCTTTTTAAAAGGCAATATTTGAACCTATGAGGTTGTATATAACGAATTACAATAAATTTTCTTTTAGTATACAATGAAACTTCATTTAATAATTTCCTGTCTACATATACAGCGATGAGGACGCAATAGAATGCGGGTGTTTGGGAAGTGGGCTTTTTTAGTTGTAGGATATTATTGGAGAATTTTTTTTTTGTGTTTGGAAAGATAGTTGAATTTTTTTATGATTGGATGTGATGTTTGTGAGAGAAAAAATGAAATGATTATGGGGTTTGATGTGATATTTTGTTTGGATTTGTTTTTTTTGGTTTTGTAACCAATTTTTCTTTTAGTGAAAAAAACAAAAAAAACTCAAAAAAAATCCTTCCCAAAAAACCAAAAATTATGACCAAGAAGAACCGGTGCCTGATATTATATTTTTGTAGTTAAAAAAATCAGAATAAGAGAGCGAGATTGAATTGCACTTATGATGGAAAAAAAAGTTACATATTACTTAATATGTGCGGTTCAAAATCATTGTAAGTATGGTAAGGCTACACTTATAATAAAATTACATTTTGTATATATGCACTTAACTTTTGACAAAGAGAAACTTAAATGGTACCTGTACATAAAAAAAAATACACAAATTGTACAGAGAAATTAATGTGCGGCCGATATTCATTAAGAGTGTAATAGAATTAATTTAGAGCATACACTGACTTTTCTGTTTACTTTCTTTTACATTTTAGGCTGTGTTTGGTTGTATTTTTTAAATATATTTCTACCCCTTTATTTACGTTTGACGTTTGTTTACAGTTTTTAAAAGTTAATTCCACATTCAATTTTGAAAACTGTCTAAGGTGGGAAAATTTGGACTAACCGGTCGTCCCACTGAACGTCCCACTGGTTGACCAAAACAGTAAATTTTTCAAAATTTTTATTTTTATTTTTTGCATTTGACACATATTAATTTTTATATGTTCAATAAAAAAATATTTTCCGAATTTTTTAAATTTTTTTATGAGTTTTGAATAGAATTTTGAGTTGTGTGTTTGGTTATAAGTTGTAAGTTTTTGTATCAAATATCATATGTCACATAAAAAATTCCCACTCAATTCAAAACTCTTTTCAAAACTCATTCACGAAACAAATTTTCTATACTCAAATCATAATTCCAAAACTCACAAACTCAAAATACAACTCCTATTCTTAAATCATATTTACAAAATTCCACCAAACACTACCTTAGTTTTTCCAAATTTTTGCGAATAGAAATATCTATGCTACACGCAAAAAGGAAAAAAAAAATACACAAAAGATTAATGTGTGATCCATATTTATTATAGTGGAATCACACAGGGCCACGCATTAATTTTGTGTGAACTTCTCTTCGCAATTCAATTAGAAGTCTCTTTAGCATGACTTCGAAAAAGACCGGCATAGAATAGTGGGATGACTTTGTGGATTTAGCAGAATGACAATTTACGTCATTGTTTTTATATTGCAAGTCTTTTCAATAATGCAAATAGTGAGTGTTAAATTAGAAGTTTTTTGTTTCTGTGTCCATACTTGAGCTAAGATAGCATTATGCAAAAATTCTTGCAATCTTGCTGTCAATATGTTTAAGCTTTTCAGACTACTCCGATCGTTTGTCTCCACAGCTGCTATCATTCTGTGCGTGTGCATGCCCACTAGCATCATACTAGGTGGAAATGAGGCCGATCACTTAGCCATGCTTTCAATCAAGGCTCAAATAACTCGTGACCCAATGCTAGTCATAAGCCCATGAAATGATTCTCTCCATTTTTGCCAGTGCGAAGGTGTTTCTCTTAGAAACATTAGCACAAAGAGACATCCAGCAATTAAAAAATTGTAAACTAACACAACAATTAAATATAGATTATATAGGACTATACTATGCAAAACTGTAAAACAGAGTAGAAATCCTAAAGCATGTAAATATAGAGAATAACAGAAAAAATAAATTTAACAGTAGTAAATCTAGCGTGTGGTCACTGTTCTAAAGCAACTGATCCTCCCTACGTGAAGGTGTTAACGGATGACAGCAACTCCAAGATTCAACCCGGTAAAGCTTACAACCTTCCTTGTCTAATGCTCACGTACACCAGGAGGATATAAACCACGTCTTGAACCGGAATTGCCCACAAATAGGAAATAACAGAAAAGGGAGCTTTTGAATAAAACAGATTTTTTTTCCTAGGAATAGGAGAGTATGTTCTTTTCTTCCTCAAGCTTTGGAAAACTGTTGGGTATAAATAGGAGTGAAGGTCTTGAATCTCCAACCCTCAAATTGAATAATAATAATAATAATTTTAATGAAAATGTATCAGGTTTTATTTGGTCTAACAGTTTCACATGTTTATTGCCATTAAAGATAATAATAGAATATATAATAAAATATATTAAAAGAGTTTTATATGAAACAGTTTGTAACAGTAAGAAATTGATTTGGTTTTAAAAACTTAATCAATTACAAGTTTTGAAACTCACAATCAAATTTTCCAACATTCCCCCACAAGTTTCAAAACTTTAAAATAAAATAAAATAAAAACCCAACTAAACTAATAAATAGATAGAACAAAATAAATCCAAGTACAAAAATATATGGGCAATACTGCGCAATAGGTGTAGGAGTCTTCCGGACTTGAATTACACTTTGTGTTGACTGTTTTCCTCTGAAAGATCATAGTGAAATATATCTTGAACTAGACCCTTTAAGCCAAAGTTCAACATGCCATACACACAGCACCGGTATAGGACTATGGTTCGCGAGTTAGTGCTACTTAAGGCCATGCACTATATCTTGATTCTCATGGGAGTTACTAGAGACCAGCCCAAGTCTTCGAGTCGCGGCCTCACGACAATTCCCACTTAGGTGAATCCTCCAAGGGTATAGTGACGAAATATACGTCGCAGAAGTTTGTCTGCCTTAGATTCATTCAAGGTTAAACCCTTCCTAACCTGTTACAGTTCATAACACTACTGCCATAGGGATGAGCAGGAGAGTCTAAAAGTGTCCCCTTTCATTATAAGTGCTGCATACAAGTCATGCAATATGGATTGTTTTTACCCATTGAACTTACTTCATGGGTTCTCCAATCACAGAAGATGGGTTACCTCCTTAGATGACTTCTTGGTGGGCTTAAGCCTATCCACCTCGACAAATCTAGGACTTCGCTCCCAGATAGACCTTTGGTTAGCTGATCAGCAATGTTGAGTTCTGATTTCACAAACTTTAATGAGATTATATTTTTGTTAAGTATGCTCCTCATAGATTTGTACCTTACATGAATATGCCTATTCATCTTTTAGTTCGTATGAGTTTGTCTCACTAAATCAATTACAACTTTGTTATCACAGTGTATAGAGATGACAGGTACAGGTTTGCTTACAAGAGGTATATCTAGTAACAAGTTTTTAATCCACTCAGCTTCAACGCCAGTTGTGTCTAGGGCTATTAACTCAGCTTCCATTGTACTTCTAGATATTATAGTTTGTTTTTAGTTCCCTAAGATATGGCAGCCCCTCATAATAAGAATACATAACCAGTAGTAGATTTAATTTCTAAGTTGTTAGTAATCCAATTAGCGTCACTATAGTCCTCTACTACGGTTGGAAAACCTCTATAAATCAATCAATAGTCTAAGGTTCCTCTTAATTACTTAAAAATTCGCTCCAAGGCTATCCAATGCTTATTACTAGGATTTTGAGTGTACCTACTTAACCTTCAAACAACATATGCAATATCAGGCCTTGATTTATTAGCAATATAGAGTAAGGATCCTATGAGTTGAGAATACTTCAATTGTGAAACAGGTTGACCATTATTTTTCTTCAATTGTACACTAGGATCCTAGGGTGTAGAGACCGGTTTACAGTTATATTACTCAAATTTCTTTAACATTTTTCCTATGGTATTATTTTGACTTAAGCTAATTCCTTGAGGTAACTTCTCTAAGTTCATTCCTAAGATCACATATGCTTCTCCTAAATCTTTCATATCAAACTTTTTAGACAAGTAATACTTAGTGTCTTCTACTATCTCGAAATTAGTCCCAAAGATTAAAATGTCATCCACATATAAGCAAAGAATAATGAAATTCCCATTTACCTCTTTGTAATATAGACATTTGTCATACTCATTAAATTTAAAATCAAACTCTAAGATCACCTTATCAAACTTCTCATGGCATTGTTTTGGAGCTTGCTTAAGACCATATAGAGATTTTACTAACTTACAAACCTTGTGTTCTTGTCCTTTTACCACAAAACCCTCAGGTTGTTCCATATAAATCTTTTCATCTAAATCTCCATTAAAAAATGATGTCTTAACATTCATTTGATGTATTACTAAATTATGGATGGATGCTAGGGCTACAAGAGTCCTAATGGTAGTAATGTTAGACACCGGCGAATATGTATCAAAATAGGCAATCCCTTTCTTTTGAGTAAATCCTTTAGCTACCAATCTTGCCTTATATTTATCAATTCTTCCACCAGGCTTTAATTTCTTTTAAAATATCCATTTACATCCAATTGCTTTATTTCCAAGAGGCAAATTGACTACTCCCCAAGTATTGTTTTGTAAAATCGATTCTATTTCACTATTAATAGCCTCCTTCCAGAACGGTGCATCTATTGACGTCATTGCTTCATTATAGGTTGTGGGTTCACCCTCTATTAGGAATTTATAGAATCCTTTTCCTAGATTCTTTTCTATACTAGTTCCCTTACTCCTTCTAAGTCCTTGAGGTTCTACCTCTTTTCCTTGAACCATACTCGTACTAGAAACAGGATTATCACTAGTTGATGGAACGTCATTAACTTGACTTGAAATTCTCATTTTGAAAGGAAAGACATGTTTGAAGAATGTGGCGTCCCTAGATTCTAATATGGTATTGTTGGTAATCTCACTAATTTAAGAATTGAAAACTAGAAACCTACAAGTAGTACTATTATGAGCATAGCCTAAGAATACAACGTCTACTGTCTTAGAACCTATTTTCTTCCTTTTAGGCTCAGGTATGGCTACTTTAGCTAAACACCCCCACATTTTTAAGAAACTAAGATTAGGACATCTTTTTTCCATATTTCATAAGGTGTCTTAGCATTTTTCTTCAAGATTACTCTATTTAAGACAAAACATGCACTAAATATTGCTTCCCCCCACAAATTTTCAGATAAACCAGAACTTAACAACATTGCATTCACCATATCCATTAAGGTCCTATTCTTTCTTTCTGCTATTCCATTAGATTGAGGTGAATAAGGTGGTGTTACCTCGTGTATTATTCCATGTTCTTCACAATAAGATAAAATATTAGTAAGACTATATTCTTCTCCTCTAGCATACCTAAGAACCTTAATTTTCTTCTCTAATTGATTTTCCACCTCATTTTTGTATACCACAAATTTATTGAAGACCTCATCTTTGGTTTTAATAAGATAAATGCAACAATACCTTGAAGAATCATCAATAAACGTTACAAAGTATTTATTTCCAACTCTAGTAGGTGGCCTAGTTGAATCACAAACATCTGAATGAATTAATTGTAAGAGATGGGTATCTTTAACCTCTACACTTTTATGGGCTTTTCTAACTTGTTTAACTTGAACACAAATTTTGCCCTTCCGTTTAAAATCCACTTGTGACTTAAGTATAAGATTTAACTCCATCATTTTCCTCATTTTCTATAAATTAATATAACCCAATCTTCCATGCCATACGTCACACGATTCCACATTCAAAATTTGAGCAAAAAATTCTTTGTCATTTGAAGTAATATTTAATTTAAATAAACCCTCAAAAACATAACCTTTCCCAACAAAAATATCATTATTGGTTATTACAACTCGATTAGACTCCAAAACTATTTTATAACCTTGTTGTACTAAACTAGACCCACTAATAAGATTTCTTTTAACTTTTGGAGCATGTCGCACTTTTTAAGAATCAATGTCTTCCCAGATGTTATCTTCAATTCCACACTACCAGCTCCAAGCACTTGTGCGGTTGAATTATTGCCTAGTGTTACACTTCTCCACTTGACTCCTGATAAGTTTTAAAACATTTATGATCAAAACAAACATGCACATTAGCTCCAGAGTCTAACCACCAATCCTTATTTTCATAAGTAAAATTTACTAAAGAGGAACTATACCTAAAAGATGGTTAAACTTGATTCTCTTCTAACATATTCACTTGATCCCTCAAATTCCTTTGATATTGCACTGGTTTGATCTTTTTGAAATAGCAATCTTTTGCAACATGATTCATTCTTCCATAAACAAAGCAATGCTTGCTACCTTTAATGATGCCCTTGAGTTTGTCATTGCTTTGATGAATTGGAGCTTGGTTTCTATTTGGATTGAACCGATTGGTTTTGAAGGTTGTGCCCCTAGGTTTAAAATTATTTCTATTATTGAAATTTCGAGGCCTATTGTTGAAGTTCTTGTTGAAATTCTTATTGTTGCTGTTGTTATTGTTGCTACTATTTTTATTTTCAATAAGGTTTACCTTAGGTGGCTTCTCTAATGGTTTGGGCAAACTAGCTCTATGTTTCTCTTCCACCCTAAGAGAGTTTAAAGTTTGAGTCAAGGTAAGCTCTCCTTGTTTGTGCCTAAGAGACTGGGCAAATTTTGTCCAAGATGGAGGTAGTTTGTCAATAAGACATGACACTTTGAAATCTTCACTAAAAATTGTCCCACTTTTTTCAGCACCCCTCAAAAGTTCTTGAAATTCATGAATTTGTTCACCTATAGGTTTTTCATCTGTCATTTTGTAATTGTTAAAAGTCGAAATGGTAAACCTATTTATGCCAGCATCATCTATCCCATACTCAACCTCTAGTGTTTCCCATAGCCCTTTTGTGGTTTTAGTAGCATTAAGATACACGTCATAAAGATGATAGGGCACTGAGAATTCTATGATAACAGTGATATTCAATTTGCTCTTTTGTCATCCAAGACAACGTTTGGTCTGGGCTAGGCTGAGAGTTGTCAATAGCAGAAAATAGCCCTAAGATGGTAAGCCAATAACGCACTTGAGTTTGCCATCTCCTAAAATGTTCTCCACTAAATTTTCTCGATTTAGAAGTGTTAGCCTCCTCAACTCTGGCCATGAGACTAGATATTTAACAAAGCTAAGGGCAAGCAACCTGTTTACAATAACAAAGGCAATTGCAAGGCTTTATAAACTTTTAATATTTAACCTGCTGATATACAAGAACAATAAATTGTTTCAATACAAAGATTGGTTTTTATTTTTATTTTTATTTTTCCTATATATAAAATAAAAATTGTTCTTACTGACCTTCTATTTTGAGTTGCTTTAGATTGTTAGAACATTAGCACAAAGAGACACATCCAGCAATTTAAAAATTGTAAATTAACACAACAACAGATTATATAGGACTATAATATGCAAAACTGTAAAACAGAGTAGAAATCCTAAAGCATGTAAATATAGAGTATAACAGAAAAAATAAATTTAGCAGCAAATCTGGCCTGCGAGAAACCAAGAGGCGTGTGGTCACTGTCCTAAAGCAACTGATCCTCCCTACATGAAGGTGTTAATGGATGACAGCAACTCCAAGATTCAACTTCGTAAAGCTCATAGCCTTCCTCGTCTAATGCTCACGTACACCAGGAGGATAAGAACCATGCCTCGAACCGGAATTGCCCACAAATAGGAAATAACAGAAAAAGGGAGCTTTTGAATAAAACAGAATTTTTTCCCTGGGAATAGGAGAGTATGTTCTTTTCTTTCTCAAGCTTTGGAAAACCATTGGGTATAAATAGAAGTGAAGGTCTTGAATCTTCAACACTCAAATTGAATAATAATAATAATAATTTTAATGAAAATGTATCAGGTTTTATTTGGTCTAACAGTTTCACATGTTTATTGCCATTAAAGATAATAATAGAATATGTAATAAAATTATTAAAAGAGTTTTATATGAAATAGTTTGTAACAGTAAGAAATTGATTTGGTTTTAAATTCTTAATCAATTACAAGTTTTGAAACTTACAGTAAGATTTTCCAACATTTTCATGTGGTCATCGCCATCAAAGGGTCATCGGCTTGAATTTAGAGTCGCTCAATTTAGAAGATTCTATATCTCCTTCCATTGGGAACCTTAGTTTCCTTAGAATCGTTAATCTCTCAAACAACAGCTTCCAAGGTTTATGAAATGGGTAGGTTATTCAGGCTACAAGTTCTAAACTTGAACAGTAACTTGTTTGGAGGACAAATTCCAGCAAGCCTCTTGAACTGCAGTAACTTGAGGGTCCTTCGTTTAACCAACAAGAAGTTGATAGGAAATATTCCTAAAGATGCTTTCACTCAATTAGTGCAACTTCATATGAGCTCCAACAATTTGTTAGGATCAATTCCGCCTTGTTTTGGGAACCTTTCCACTCTCAAACTTTTCTTGGCGCAAAAAAATTTGTTAGAGGGAAGTATTTGGGACTCACTAGGTAGCTTGAAAAGCTTAACATATGTTTCATTATCGGCAAATAAGCTAACAAGTACAATTCCTCCATCTATCTATAATATCTTATCATTGACTGCTTTTGAGGCACCAAATAATCTACTTGAGGGAAGTCGCCCTCAAAATTTAGGCCCCACTTTGCCAAATATCAAAAGGCTTAATCTTTGGGGAAACCAACTAAGTGGATCGATTCCAGTTTCAATATCAAATGCTTCCAAATTAGAATAACTTGACTTGTTGCTGAACAATTTTTCCCCTAGAGTGGCTGTTAATTTTGGAAACCTAATAAATTTCTCGTAGTTGAATTTATTTACGGTTGGTTTGGGAACTGGAGATGCCAATGACCTTGATTTCGTCTCCGATTTAGCCAAATGTAGCAAATTGAGTGTGATAGAATTAGAAGAAAATAATTTTGGAGGTGTTTTGCCGAATTCCTTAGCCAACTTCTCAACCAAACTTCAATATTTAACTGTGGCAAAAAACAAGATATTTGAAAACATACCAACAGATATTGGAAATCTTGTGAGCTTAAATGCTCTAGATTTACACTACAATCAATTGACAGGAAGCATTCCAAACTCCATCGGTAAACTTGATAAGCTTCAACAATTGGGTTTTGGTAAAAACAAATTGTTTGGAGAAATCCCTTCCTCCATTGCAAATTTAACATTGTTGACCAAGCTTTGGTTAGAAGAAAATCATTTTTAGGGAAACATACCTTCGAGTCTTGGAAATTTCTTGGGTTTGATAGAGCTGCATCTTAATGGTAATAATTTTTTTGGTAGCATACAGCGAGAAGCAATTGGTCTCTCATCTTTGTCAATATCTTTGGACTTTTCTGGAAACTATCTAACTGGGTCCCATCCCTTTGGAAGTTGGTAGCTTGAGAAATCTTGTTGAACTAAATCTTTCTTATAACAAGTTATATGTTGAAATTCCTACTAGCCTTGGTAGGTGTCATACTTTGTAATACCTTTATTTGGACAACAATGCATTAATAGGAGCATTCCACAATCCTTGAGTTCTCTAAAGGGCATTGAAGAATTAGGTCTTTCCCACAATATCCTCACAGGTTAAATTCCTAAGTTTTTAAATAGCTTTCCTTTTCTAAGGATTTTGAACCTTTCTTTCAATGATCTTGGGGGAGAGATACCAATAGCGGGGGTGTTCCAAAATGCAACTGCAATTTCAGTTTCGGGAAATAACAAGCTTTGTGGGGGTATACCTACACTACAATTGCCGTCATGTGCTTTGAAAATGGCAAGAAAGTTAATTATTCCTATAGTTTGTGGGGTATTGGGTATAATTTTTGCATTATCTATTCTGTTGCTTTGTTGGCTTAGAAAGATGAGAAAGCAATCTATTGTGGCATCTTGTTTGATGGATTCTTCTATGGATATGTCATATAGAAAACTCTTCAAAGAAACAAATGGGTTTTCTTTAGACAACTTGATTGGTAGCAGAAGTTTTGGTTCAGTATACAAAAGAATTCTTCACCCAAATGAAAAGGCTATTACGGTGAAGTTATTAGATCTAGAAAATAGAGGAGCGTCAAGAAGTTTTATCACTAAATGCAAAACTTTGGGAAACATTAGGCATCAAAACCTCGTCAAGATTATAAATGCTTGTGCAAGTGTTGATTTCCAAGGTAATCACTTCAAAGCCCTAATATATGAGTTTATGGAAAATGGGAGCCTTGAAAGTTGGTTGCATCTAACTCCACAAACAAGTGTTGCCTATAATCAACCAAGAAGTTTAAACCTTTTTCAGTGATTAAACATAGCAATTGATGTGGCTTCTACTCTGGATTATCTTCACAATCATTGTTACAACACGATCATACATTCTGATATAAAGCCAAGCAACATTCTTCTTGATAGTGACATGACAACCCATGTTGGTGATTTTGGTTTAGCAAGGCTCTTACAACAACCCAACAATGAACTTTCAAAAGCCAAACTAGCTTTGTTGGTATAAGAGGAACTATTGGATATGTAGCACCAAGTAATCCACCATATATGCCTATGAAAATGTATTTTGTGTGATCGATATACTGAGGTGGTGTACCGATGCCTCTAACAATATCTCCTCAGTTTCCTAGTTATGCAAAAATATCACCCATATTTTTAAACGTATAGATGCATTTGCAAGTATAAATTAAAATTTGTCATATGTGTATTGGAGAATATGGCATGGGGAGACAGGTATCCATTCATGGTGATGTATACAGCAATGGAATCCTCTTGTTAGAATTGTTCACAAGAAAAAGACCCACTGATGGCATGTTTATAGATGGCTTGAACCGTCACAGATTAGCCAAGATAGCTTTGCCAAAAAATGTGATGGAGATTATTGATCAGAAACTTGTATCAGCTGTAAAAGAGAAGGAAACAAGCAAAGCAAATTCCAAGACACAAATGGAAAGGGAAAAATTCATTAAGTCTGTAAATCTGATACTCAGGGTTGGAGTCGAGTGCTCCAAAGAATCACCAAGAGATCGAATAACCATTGTTGACGCGGCTAAGAAACTACATTTAATTAAGGAGATGCTACTTGGGAGAAGGATTTCCACCAATGTGTAAATTGCTCCAATCATGTAACTCCCCCCAAATTATACCATAAATACAACCCATAAGCAGGAAGATAATAGAAATATTATGCTTTCATTCATCAGAGTTCGTTTACAAACGTTAACACATTCGATATACATTCACAAATGTTCATCCTAAATTTACAGCATGTATTACAATGTTGAGAGAAATAAAGCTAAACATATAGTCGGATGCCTTATAAGCTTATATCTTTCCAAGTCATTGCTTGGTTACACAAAAGTGAGCCTAGCTCAATACAATTTAAGCCCTTGGCTATACAAAAGAATAAAAACAAAATAAAGAAGCCCTTGTTTCCCAAAAGTCCCTCCAAGCTATTGCCTTGGCGGAGGCATGTCACCAACACCTGAAAATGTTTTTCCCAAATAGGGTAAGCCAAAGCCCAGTATGAATAATCTAACATAATATATGAGGTTTAACAAAGATATAGATACAATGTGCATATACAATGCTAGCAACAAAATATTTACATTTTTCATAATCATGAGGTACCTGTAGACTGCCCGAACTCGCTCCGCGCGCCCCCCTTTCGGAGAGGGCACGAATTATGTTCTAGCTACTATAGTTCGGACTCCTGTCACGGTTCTGAATCTAATCTCACAAAGTGCAATGTAAGACTAATAAATCACCAAAGAGTCCAAATCCATCAATTGGCTTTGAAAAATCAATTTTGAATCAAAAAGCGCCAAACATGGACTGTTTTGCCAAATTTCAGAGTTGCCACCTAAATATTTTGTGTTGGGAAATTTAGAAAACCCTGATTCGTGCCAAAGGCCACATGTCCGTCATCACCAAAGTTTCCTTGGCTCGGGAACTTGGGTACGAGAGGGGAAGGTCCTGAAATGAGCACCCCTGCTCGCCCAATCAAAGATCGGCCTCTACTGATCATGATATGTTGTTTTGAAAGCACATGTGTTCTTATTCCAATTATTAGCTAGCTTACTGCGTGATGCGCACAGCATACAAGTATAGACTAAAATCACAAGAATTGGAACAAAACATCTCATGTTTGTTTTTCGAAAATGGTTTGAAAGTGCTACTCGCAAGTAAGCTAAGACGTGGTTTTGTCAACCTCAAGTGGGCTTAGAAAACAACATGATTTGCCACTCCGCAAGTGGGCTTAAAACGCACATTTTGATGAATTGTTCCAATTCAAGTAATGAAGCCTTCATCCACAGGCATTCAAGCAGTTAATCACTTAAGCAAATAGCCTCATGGAAAGCATGCTGTCATGGCAATCACTTACACGCATGCAAGGATGCTAAAACATAAACACTCACAGTGTACTCCGAGCAAAAAATGAAGCTAGTTAGTAATCATGCATGATCCTAGCTATGTCAACAATGCCTAATGCAACACATGCAAAATGCAACTAAGTAGGCTCGGCTATCTAAGATGGCATATGAATGCAACAATTGATACATGTATTCAAATAGGTATTGAAATACAATGCAGTTTGAATGATGTGCCGAGCCCGGTGCATGCAAGACAAGATGAATGACGCACGCATGCAAGCATAAGGTATGCTAATCGAAATATGCCCTAATCTAACCATCAAAAACTGATAAGTAAAAGGGAGAAAGACGTGGGGTTGGAAGACATGCATCACACACACGCACACTTATTACAAAATTTGCCCTCTCGACGGAGGGTTCGAATGAAAGCTAAACTAATCTAAGCTAAGCTAAACTAACTAATCTAATTAAGCTAATTAGACTAATTATTACAAACCAATAAAGAAATAGCTAAACTAAGCTACTTAATTATTACAACACTTAATTAATTAACAAATTAATTAAATTACAAAACCAAACGCTAACTAACAAGTAAAGCACTAAATTAAACTACTTCAGCTCTGTTTGAAGATGTTGAGCATGCATGCTCGCATTCGGTTTCTCGCCCCGAAAAATCCTTCCAGTTTGCTCTCTTGAGGCTCTGTCTGTAGGGTGTCCTTAAGAACTTGCTGCAGGATCTTACCAAATCCATGCTGGGGAATGCACTAGTGGCCTGCTAGCCATGAGGAGTTGCTGCCGGCCAAGGGTGTGCACTGCCGGCCAATTATGAAGTAGTGCCGGCCATCAATGTGGCACTGCCGGCCACTGGTGTGCTGTGACACCATTCTGCAACAGAACACAAACTAGAGAAAATGGAGGGTCTCCCTAGGAGGATGTATGTACTGTGCCACTCCATATCACCTCAAAACATAAGGGGAGAGGCACCATTGGATCCAAAACCATTAATCAAGCATCTCAATGCATGATGGCCAAGGGTCCAATTCGTATAAATTCAATAAATGCAATGTAAACACGACTCTAAATCCACTACCACATCGTGGATGATCAAAGGCAACGGAGACAAAGGGGATTGGCTCACTTTCAACACTTCAAGTATGAAGTGGACCAATCCACCTTGTGTTCAACATAACGTCCGGTTGAACACAATGCAATGCACACATGCAACATGCTTATCTTGACATGTTTTACTTGATTGATTTTTGTTTATACATTTTACATTACCGAGCCATTCATTAACCGGTTAAGTCCAATGTGAAAAGTCCTCTAAGGAAAGATGGCCTCAGCCACAAGGACCTTGAGCATGAAAGAAGCCTTATGCTTTTGGTTAGTAGAAATCCTCAAGAGAAGGCTAAAACCATTAGGTATGAGAGCCTCAATTCCATGCTCAAGCCAACAAGGGGCTAAAGACCTTTTTCAAAACAAACGAAAGAGTGAAGCATGGAGTAATATGGCATGTATTTCAGCATTGAAATGACATGCTAAATGACACTAAACCATGCAAACAACGCACGCACAACGTGTTACGGGTCAAAGGCATTGAAACTAGTGATTAGCACTACACTAGAGGCATGCCATACAAGGCTCAAACAACCAAACCAGCCATGAACAGAGCTTAATCATGCCAAAACAATGGGCTAAGCAAGCTTGAAATGAAGCTCAAAAGACTAGACAAACATGCACACAAATTGGATCACAAGCAAAGCATAAGGCATGACTCTTAAACACAATTAAAGATTGATATACATGAGAGTATGACAAGGCCATATGCTCTGAAATTTCATATTAAATGACGCCATATCATGCAAACATCACAAGGAAAGCATGCTAGAGGCCCTAAAACTCAAAGCTAGTTAAGGCACTTGCACTATATCTATGCAATACAATCCTCAAAGGCCTAAGACCTTTCAAAACAGTCCTAAAGCATGTCAAAACAAGGCCAAAAACATGCTTGAACATAGCCAACATATGCTAGAATAAAAAGCCAAAACATCAAGTAAGCTAGGCCAATGAGCATGGTTACACTACAAGTGTAAGAAGCAAATGAGGGATGCTCTAACCAACCAAAAACAGAGTTAAAGCATGTTAAATAATGTCCAAGAACATGCTGGAGTGGAGCCAAAACATGTTAGAATTATAGGCTAAGACATGAAGCATGTTAGGCTAGCAAGTAGGATTACACTACAAGTGTATGAAGCATGCAAGAGGTGACCAAACCAGCCAAAAACAGAGTTATAGTAGGTCCTAAAATGCACAAAAGCATGCTCAAACTAAACCTCAAGAAGGGAGAAATACATGCTTATTTGATAGGGCAACAACACATGCTAACAAGACAAGAGGAGGGGGGACCACCCCCTTCCATTTTGGGTCTCAAAACTACCTTTCCACCACTGAAATTTCTCTGGCATTCAGTGATAAAAAGGGCCAAAAGTTTGGTTTGAAAGCCTTGAAAGATGGCACAAAAAACTATACAAGCTAAGAAACAAAAAGGAGAGACAACCCCCTAACACAAAATAGGCCTAAACCATCATTTTTAGGACTGAAAAACAGAGTTTTCTTCAGTTCAAAATCAAGCCAAAAACAGTTTGCAAAGATGGTAAAATAAGCATGCAAAACAAAGCTTTAAAGGGACAAGTGCTTAAATTGAAGCACAACAGCAAAACAGGTGCAAATCTGAGCCAAACCCACCTTTTGGAGCTCCAACAAAGTCCCAAGGAATCTCAGCCCAATGGTGGTCAGGTTTGATCAAGGATGTGTATGCAAAACAGGTGCAAATCTAAGCTTTCATGCATAAAAGGGCAAGAGAGAGTGAACTCTAGAGAGAGAGGCAGAGATTAATCTCTGAAAATTGTAGAGAGAGAGAGTGATTTTAGTGTGAGAAGCTCTCAAAATTTTGTACCCTCCCATATGTGAGATATAAGCTCCATATATAGCAAAACAAAAGCTCAAGGTCGAAATATCTGAATATGGGACAACTGGAGGTTGTGTGGAACAGCTGGAGAGAAAAGATCTGCAAAAAAAACTGATTTTTGATATTGTTGGCCGGCCGGCCATGACTGGTGGCCGGCAGGGGATCATTGATGGCCGGCATGCATCATCCATGGCCGGCAGAAAATTCTGCTTTCCAGGTCTAACTTCAAATGGGCATAACTCCTTCATCTGGACTCTTTTGCAAGTCATTTTTGTATCCAAATTGAAGCCCCGGAAGTAAGATTTCGAATGGTGGAATCCCCACATCAAAATTCCAACTGTGCAAAAAGTTATGCCTGTTTTGGTGAAACTACTGAGTTTCGATCCTTCCCGAATTCAGGCCGAACCTCTCCCAAACTAGTTTGCTTCTCTCCTCTCCTCTTTTCTTCAAATCCAAACCCCTAAACAATGTGTTTTGAAAGATTTTTCAAAGATTTCATCTCTCTTTCATTCATTTCCACTTTGTCCTTTGCCCGGTTTACCGAAAAGCGTAACATTTAACAAAATGTGAGCGTTGAAATATCGTAGGAACTTTTTCAAAAACTATTTTGAAAGAGAGGGTTTTAAGGTCTCAAAATCTTTTGATCAAGATCGTTTTGGTCCAAAAGGGGTATGAAGTTGGGATTTGACTCTCTCCTTGCCGAAGAAATCAACCCTTGCACTACACAACTTTCATCACCAAGTAGACAATTAGTAGCGCCCAAGTCTTAA